AATCAAACTCGGGTGGTCAGTCTTGGTGACGAGCGTCCTTATCCATTAAGTTATTTCTCCAGCCCTCGTTAAAGGATATTTCAATGACACCAGAAAGGAGTGGTCTATAATTTTATAATACCCTTTGGTTTTGAAACCAATTTTGTTTCTAAACCCAAACTAAAAGATTTGGCTGTGATCCTGCAGAGAAAGTTACTTCTGGATCCAAAAAAGCTCCCAAAATGGCAGTGCTGGGGACAGTATCCTGAACCCCTTTAAACCACCAGGAATCTCCCTTAATCTGTAACTTCCCTGGGCAAGGGCCTCTAGCTCCTGGTCAATCCCAAAAGCCTGCATCAGTTCAGGGACCCTGCTGACTGTCGTATAAAATCTGCTTGCCTTTCCACCATTTTCCTCCTCCCTCTGACCCCCCAAGAGACAGCCGCGGCAGTTAGAACCTCAGTAACCTTTCTTTCTAACCAAGGAGAGGTCCAGTTCAGTGGTTTCACTTCGCCCTCATTTGTAGTTACTAAATATTTTGTTCTGTGCAAAATATGTCTACGAAATGGTCAACACATAGGACCATCTCTAGTCCTAATGATGACACGAGTCTGGAGGCCAGTCCAGGGGGATGCCATCTACCAAACCTTTGCAGGTTTGCACTTCAAGGGCACATGACAGGTCAGCCTTCCCAGACTTTGCCCATGAACTGAAATGATAACACTTCTGATATCCAAGAACTTTGGGCTATCATCAGAAAAGCCCATCTTGAGTGACAGACAACACACATGAGCAAGTTAGGGAAAGTATGTGCATCTCATTTTTATTTCTAAAATAACACCCCAAATTTTCTTTATTTACAGTTGTTTAAAAAGAAACAATCAGAAACATATACACATATAAATAATAAGGCCTGTAACAGCAATGTGTCTGTCTCACAAATGAAAAAACTAAGATCCTACAAGCCAGGTTGTTTTACTCAAGGATTAAAATAATAAGCACACAGAACACCCACCCGATGTTCCTTTCCTATTTGGGGGAAACCTATCATGGACAGACGGCAAAGTAGATACAGGACCCTTCACATTTGACCTCCAACCCTACCACCGTCACTGAATCTGACCTGAGTCCTCCAGACACCGAGGATCCCCTCAGTGGGAGGGTGTCTGGGTCCAGAGCCACAGAGCATCTTGGGGAGTGAAAGCAGACAACTCTACAGCCTGCCCGCCAGCCAGGGGCTCGCCAAGGAGACCGTACAATGCTTTGCAAATGGATTGTGAATCTTGACAAGGTGAACAAAAACCCTGTCTTTGTTAGATCAGAGCTAGCGGCTCAGTCTTTTGAAAAGCCCACTGTGAGCCTCAGCTAGACTTCCAACTGAGGCAGTGCTCCCGGCTGAAAGAGGATGTCGCTTCGTTCCAACTCTTCGTTCCTTCTCGTGGAGCCCTTCTCCATCCCAGCAGGCAAGACATCTCTGAGAAATAAGCAATCTGGACGATGAGGTCAGAACACTTTGTTAGTACAAAGAATGATAGCTGGCATGTCTTGACAGCTTGATTTGAACCAAGCAATAGTCTAGGACAGAGGTTCTCAACCTGTGGGTCACTACCCCTTTGGGGTCACATATCAGATATTTACATTACAGTTCATAACAGAAGCAAAATTACAGTAACAAAGTAGCAGCAAAATAACTTTATGGGGCGGGGGGCACCATGACATGTGGAAGTGTATTAAAGGGTCGCAGTATTAGGAAGGTTGAGAACCACTGTTCTAGGGGAAATCTCACTGAGGTCAAATGACCACTGTGTCAGAAGGCCTGCTTCAGGTGTGAACAGCAAAGGGCGCTGTGCAGCTGTGGCCTCCATAGGAATGAGGTTCACCTCTCCGTGGTCCTTGATGGGATCTGCCATTCAGAATCGCGACTGAATCAAAGTACCCTAGTTTCAGATCTTTGCTGTCCTTCCTCACTGTGGGCCTCAGGACAGAGCTGTCACAGTGTTGACCTGAGATGACTGGGTGGGATGAAAGGAGTGTCCATGATGTAGGAGCTGCTATCTCATCCCCAATCCCGTCCTAATCACTGACAGCTGGAGCTCGACTTACTGTTTTCTGTGACCTAGCCTGTGGTTTAAGAGCGGCAATACTGCCTCCCGGCTTGCTTTCACCATGACTCGTCTGCACGCCCGCCTTGCATGTACCAAATATCACTCAGAGTGTTTCAGTGTTGGAACCCCCCTCTGTTGGAAGATACCCACCTCCCCTGTGCCACCAGATCTCCATTCTGAACTTAAAAATGTCACCTACTGTGACTTTTATATCTCTCTATACTGCTTATTTGATCCCCAACTTTTTCTGCCACAGTGCCAACTGCTGTTCCGGAGCCCTCTTAATACCATGTATATGTAGGTGTAAATTCACAGGCCCCATTACTGAGAAAATTCAATAGGGACAGAGGCACCTGCAGAGCATACAGAGCCAAAAAGATGCAAAACTCAGCTCACCATCTACCTCCTAAGTTCAAAAATAGAACAGAAAATCAAATAACAATATGGAGTGGGCTTTGCTGACAGGTATACGCCCAACTTCCCAGCCTTCCTCCAGCTCAGATCTAAGCCTTCCTGAACTCTAGGATAGTGTGTCACTTGTCTCACAATCTGTCACTTTCCCACAACTAACCAAGTGTGCTCAACCAACAGGAGAGAGGACCTCATCAATGGCCCTCCTCTCCAGAATGGATGGATAAATTATCCCCAGAAGGCAGGCCTCCCTCCTCCCTCAGACATAATCTAAGAGTGTCGCTGGCAATTGAGGCCCTGCTGGAAAGGCCAGCTCTGATTTTCTATTAGGAGATGTTAATTATACATAATGGGGTTCATTATGCCATTCTGTACGTGCATATAATATATTTTTCTCATGTTCAACCCTCCCCATTCACCGTTGTTTGCCCCTCTCCAATATCTTCTTTTGTTTGCTGTTTTTTTTTTTAATTGGATTTTAGCTTTTCTGGTTTTGTTTGTCTGGTTTTTGTTTTGTTTGTTTGTTTGAGACACAG